AATGTCCTGAAATAAGTGAGGGAAGGACCAATGTGGAGAAGACGGGGCCAGCAAGGGTGCAGCCTTGAAGAGGGAGTGTGCTTGGTTTGTTTGAGGAGTGCAGTATGTCTGAGCAGAGAAAGGAAGAGAGCAATAGGGGATGTGGTCAGAGAGGAAGAGGCTGGGGATGAGGAGAGGGAGGCCAGGTTGTGCAGGCTAGGGGAAGGATCTGGACATCTATGTCTGGAGGTTTCATAACACTTTGTCATGAGCCCTTCTGTACAAATCATTGAACTGCTACTGTTGTAATAATAATGCTTATCGTAAATTTCCAATGTTGAAATTGCGAGAGATATTTTGTTTGGAATGTGTGCTAAAGGCTTTTTGTGGTTCTTTGGCTAGTCAACTGTATGAAGTATAGGGTTATATTTAAGGCTGTCAAATTACTCTGGTTTAAATTTGCCTTAGCTGGGGAAGACAAATGCTTATTGGTACATACTCAAAAGTATGCAGTCTTCTGCTTACTGTTTTGAGATGATATTTCAGTGAAGTATTGCTTCCCCTCCCCATTTATTGAGATATAATTGACATCTATAGTTGTGTAAGTTTAAGGTGTACAACATGGTGATCTGACATATGTTGCAGTACAGTTACCACAATAGTGTTAGCTAACATCTCCATCCTGTCACATAATTACCAGTTCTGTTTTTGTGGTGTGGATACTTAAGATCTACTCTCTTAGCAACCTTCAAGTCTATAATATGGTATTATTAACTATAATCACCATACTGTATGTTAGATGCTCAGAATGTGTTAATCTTATGACTGGAAGTTTATGCTCTTTGACCAATATTTCCCCATTTTCCTGGTTACCCCTCAGCCCCTGGTAGCTGCCACTCTACTCTCTGTGTCTCAGAGTTTGGTTTTTTAAGATTCCACATATAAGTGATATTATACAGTATTTGTCTTTCTTTGACTTATCAGAGAATACTTATGAAGTATTACTTTATACAAGCTTACCAACTACCAGTCAATAAATAGTTGAATGCTTGCTTAAGAAACAAATCTACAATTATAATTAGTATATATATATATATATATATATATATATATATATATATATATATGATTTCCTTTACACTGTGGCACTAAAAAATTTTAATTGATAACTTACATATAGCAAGATACATAAATCTTAAGCATAAAGCTTAATATTTTTTAAAAGACTTTATTTATTCATGAGAAACACAGAAATAGACAGAGACATAGGCAGAGGGAGAAGCAGGCTCCTCGCAGGGAGCCTGATGTGGGACTCAGTCCTAGGACCCCGGGATCATGCCCTGAGCCAAAGGCAGATGCTCAACCACTGAGCCAGCCAGGTACCCCTTGATGAATCTTTAAAAATGTACACACCTGTGTGACCTCACCCATATCACGGTATGGAATATTTCCAGTTCCCCAGCAGGGTGCCTCTTACCTTTACTCAGCCAACAACCCATTAAAAGTCATCACTAGTCTGACCTCTGTCACCATGCATCAGTTTTTCCTGTTCCTGAATCTCATATAAATGAAATCATATCATATGTATTCTTTTGTATGTGACTTCTTCCACTCAACATGAACTTGCGAGATTCATTTATGTTGTGGTGTGAAGCGGTGATCCATTGTTTTGCCTTGCTGCTTGGTATTCCAGTATATGATACAATAACAATATATTCATCCATTCCACTGGTAATAGACTTTGTGTTTCTAGTTGAGAGCTATTTCATGATGACTCAGTGGTTTTACTAAGCGCTGACCCTAGGAGTTGCTGAGGTACATAGAACTGATTGCCCCCAATACATTGTTTCAGTTGTGTCTACTCTCTCTCCTATCTCTCATCCTAGGTTCCTGTGTCTCTCTGCTGTTTAGCACAATCTTAGAGGTTCTATTAGGAGCCTGATATTTACATTTTATTACAAAAAGAAGCCAAATATACTCTGTGCTTAAAACAGGAAAGTGTTGATTCTCTTTTATTTTTTTATTTATGTATAAAAGTACCTGAGCATTGCAACACTCTTTTCTTTAGAATCAAAGCCAGCTTTCCCTAGATTATGCAGCTGTTCTGGGAGTTTTGTAGTTAACTGCTATCAAAAATTGGATACCTAAAAAAAAAAATTGGATACCTTCTATTACAGGCTGAATTTATTCCCCAACATTCATATATTGACGTGCTAACCCCCCTGCCCCCGTACCTCAGAATGTAACTATATTTGGATATAGAGACTTTAGAGAGGTGATTTAAGTTAAAATGAGGACTTTAGAGCGGGCCTTCATCCAATCTGACTGGTAATCTTATTAAGAAGAGGAAATGTGGGCAGCCTGGGTGGCTCAGCGGTTTGGCACCTGCCTTTGGCCCAGGGCGTGATCCTGGAGACCCGGAATCGAGTCCCGCGTCGGGCTCCCTGCATGGAGCCTGCTTCTCCTTCTGCCTGTGTCTCTGCCTCTCTCTCTCTGTGTGTGTCTCCACAAATAAATAAATCTTTAAAAAAATAAATTGTAAAAAAAAGGAAGAGGAAATGTTCATACCGAGGAAAGACACCAGGCACACACACACAGAAGACCATGTGGAGAGGCAGCAGGAGAGCTGCTATTTGCAAGCCAGGGAGAGAGGCCTCAGAGGAAACTTATCTTCTTGACACCTTGACTTTTGGACTTCCAGCCTCCAGAACTGTGAGAAAGTAAATTTGCATTGTTTAAACCTTTCAGCCTGTGGCATTTCATCATAGCAGTGCTAGAAAACTAACACACCTCGTCAAATAAGTTTCCAAATACCATAAGGTAACATTTATAAAATAAGTCAGCTCTTTCCGAATTTTTCATTTTTAAATAAGAACTTAGCAAACCCCAGTGTTTTAATGTGCCACAAACCAATCATTTAGTAGCAGACCCCATGTAGCCTATGTGTCCTTCCTCTCCTGGTTCAGCTGCCTCCTGAATAATTTGAGATTTAGTTGTAGAAACTATACTCCTTTACCTTCAAATACTTCATATTTTTATGTAAGAATGTTCTCTTATTCAGAAAATTCAAACACTGACACACATGGTCCACATTAAATTTTACCAGTTGTCCCAATCATATCTTTCCTGACAATCTCTCTCTCTCCTTCCCACTTCCAGGACCATATGTTACATGTAATTGTCATGTCTCTTTAATGTCCCTTATTCTATTATTGTTATTCTTTTTAATTTATTTAAGTAAACTTTATACCTAATGTGGGGCTTGAGTTCACCACCCTGAGATCAAGAGTCACATGCTCTTCCAACTGAGCCAGCCAGGTGCCCCTCACGTCTCTTTAACCTCCTTTCAGTTTTGTCTACCACAACATCTGTGTCTTTAAAGATTACATAGCAAGTGTTTTGTTAATGTTCCGCAGTCTGGGTTTGTCTGATGATTAGGTTCTGGTTATGCCTCTTTAGCATACTTGGAACTTTAGACTTGCGTAGGCTGTTCAGGTCACAAAGTAAAAGATGCAGGCAGGACAGACGCCCAGACCAGCAAACGGCACGGCGAAGGCGGGGGAAGAGGCCTGGAGCGCAAAGCGTCCGCCGAGGAGGCCCAGGAGGCTGCAGCCGCTGAGGATGGAGCGACGGAAAGTGGGGTCCAGGCTCCGAAAGCGGCTGCCTTTCCCCCAGGCTTCAGCATTTCGGAAATTAAGAACGAACAACGGCGACACTTAATGTTCACGCGGTGGAGACAGCAGCAGCGGAAGGAAAAGTTGGCGATTAAGAAAAAACTTAAAAAAGAGAGAGAAGCTCTTGGTGACGAGGCTCCACCAGAGCCTACACCAAAGACCATTGACAACCAGCGAGTATATGATGAAACTATAGTGGATCCTAATGATGAAGAGGTTGCTTCTGATGAAGCTGCAGATGAATTTGCATCTTACTTCAACAGACAAACTTCTCCCAAGATTCTCATCACAACATCAGACAGACCTCGTGGGAGAACAGTACAGCTCTGTGAACAGCTCTCCAGTTACACCAAACGCACATGTTTATTACAGAAGAGGACTGGCTTTGCAAAAATGAATTATTCCACAGTGCATTTCAAGAGATTTCACAGATCTGATAGTTATTAATGAAGATCGTAAAATACCAAATGGATTAATTCTGAGTCACTTGCCAAGTGGCCCAACTGCTCATTTTAAAATGAGCAGTGTTCGTTTGCGTAAAGAAATTAAGAGAAGAGGCAAGGACCCTACAGAACACATACGTGAAGTAATTTTGAATAACTTTACTACGAGGCTGGGTCATTCTATTGGACGTATGTTTGCATCTCTCTTTCCCCATAATCCTCAATTTATTGGGAGGCAAGTTGCCACATTCCATAATCAACGGGACTATATATTCTTCAGATTTCATAGGTACATATTCAAGAGTGAAAAGAAAGTGAGAATTCAGGAACTTGGACCACGTTTTACCTTAAAATTAAGATCTCTTCAGAAAGGAACCTTTGATTCTAAATATGGAGAATATGAATGGGTCCATAAGCCCCGGGAAATGGATACAAGTAGAAGAAAATTCCATTTATAAAATACTGAAGGAATAGTATTGAATTGTGCTAAACAGGTCTACTTTGGATTTATGACAGAAGACCCTTTTTAAAATGTCATTTACTGGTTCCATAAACCTTTTCATGTCTGGACCAAGTAACAAGTGGCATGAATTACCATTCACTGTTTATGTAGCACATACAAATAAAAGTCATTTTGGTGAGTTTAAAAAAAAAAGATGCATGCAAGAGTTATCACACCCTTCCATTGCTTGAAAAGCAGCAGATCTCACCTACATGCTAAGAGGAACATATTTAATAAGTAAATTCACTTTGAGGTATTAGTGATGAAAACTATCTTCCCCTTGAGTCAATAACCCTGCTAGGCTAGGCGTCACTGTATTTTTTTTTAAGGTTTATTTATTTATTTGTGTGTGGGGGGGTGTTGGGGGTGGGGTGAGGAAGGGAGAGAGGGAATGAGAGGAGGGGCAGAGGGACAGGGAGAGAAACTCTTAAACGCACTCGGTGTGGAGTGCGGAGTTCATGCCCTAGCATCACCGTATTTTTTTGTAAAGATTTTATTTGAGAGAGAAAGAGAAAGAGAACATACATGAGCAGGAGGAGGGGCAGAGGGAGAAGGAAAAGCAGGCTCCCAACTGAGCAGGGCCCCCCTCCCGCCCCCATCTCACCCATGGCTCTTTCCCAGGACTCTGGGATCATGACCTGTGCCAAAGGCAGCTGTTTAACCAGTGGAGCCACCCAGGTGTCCCCAGATTGGCCCTTTTCTGGTTATGCCCCATTAATCAGAGAGAAAGCAAATATATTACAAACTACAGTTTCTTAGCGGAAATTTCAAATCCAGATTTTACTTAAGCCTGTACTTTTGAAGCAAATATCTGTCCATATAAGAAAAGTTGCTCTGAAGTGAGTGAAGGAAACTATTTTTTTCCTTTTTATCTTTTCATAAAGCAGAACAGCATGGTGGTTTTCTGAGTCTCTCCATTTCCCAGACAACACTCCCAGCGTCCTCATGTCTCCGTGTTCCTTTTTTCCTTTGTTGAAGCAGCAGCAGCAACTTTTGCATGCAATTCTTGGGAGGAACTGGTGTAAACCACTGACATCATATGCAAAAGCCAAGTTCTTATGTTATAGGCAAGGTGAGCGGCACCAACAGGAGGCAGTTGTTTAGGGAATGGCTACAGTGATACCCAGTGAACACAGTCAGTGGGATTGCTTACTTCTGTTGCATCCTCAGGTTCCTATAGTTGAATGAATTCATGTCTGTGGAGCTCTGGAGTTACCAGAACATCCATGTAAACTTTAAATCAGGCTTGTGCGCCTAGAACCATATTGAAAGTTTTAAGGGAACTATATAATCTCAACTAGTATCCGTACAATGATAACGTGACGAACAGTGAGAAACACAAACTAATTTGCGCTGGTTGCTTAGAAAGTCAATACTAATGTAACTTTAGATTTTATGATTAAAAAATTTTTTTTAAATTAGGTAGTTTGGTTTATGATACCTTCGAGGTATTAGTCAGTCTCCCCATAACTTTGTTTTGCTTTAATGTTTATAATTCTTTTGTTGTTAGAAAACTGAATGGATCTTGAAAGTTCTCATAAGAAAATAAATTATAACTATGTACTGTAATAGTTGTTAAACAGATTTACTGTGATTATTTTGCAATATATACAAATATGGAATCATCACATTGAACATCTGAAACTAATATAATGTTATGTCAATTAAAAAGACCCAAATGAATAAATAACCACTATCTACACCATTGCCAGAGAATAAAATAAAACTTTCAGTTTTCTGCAATTTCCTTTAAAGTTCACTTTGTAAATGTGTCCTGCTCTGTAAGTTTTCCAGTGAGTAAAAGGGTGTCATTAATGTCTTCATTGGTCTATATCAATGTATTTAAATGCTTTTCACTTTAATTTAGAAGGGAGGACTTATTCTTCTGGTCTCTCAGGATATATAGGAATTCTTGGAACCACCTATTTTAGGATTTTATTTGCACAAATATCCTGTGATTTTAAAAAGTTGGGGATAAGAGTAATGCGATTATTGCTGCCATTTTGCAAACATGAATAACCTATAAACTCTGCTGACAAGAAGAACAATTTCTAGTCTAGTTTAAGATACTTCATCTTCAAGTTCAAGCATTTTAGTTTGGAAGAAGAAAGCAGCAATCTTCTCTGAGGCATTGGCTTCTTTGGCTTCAGCATATTTGGGACTTCTCTTTTCTCTCTGCTTTCCTCAGATGAGCTTCCTCTCCAGAGCCTTCGTGTGGGAAAATATTTATAATGAGGAGTAAAGCAATCATGTGGCCAAAAACCTGGACGAAACTGAAATAAGTGGTTGTACTTCTGAGGAAGGAAAGGTCTGTTTGGAAACCTAATATGGACTCTAGGCCCTTGTTGTGGAAAGGAATGAAAGGGATACTTGAGTGTCTTTGTGATGAGCTGGATCCTTGTCACCGGGTTCCTCCTGGGGGGTGGAGGGGTGAGTGTGAAGACTTGGCAGTCTGTAGCACCTCCATTATCTTGTGAGCCTCCAGGAGGGGTGGCTCCCTCTCTCTGTCCTGTGAGGAGAAACATGTAAGTCAGGAAATAGGCCTCATGACAGAAGCAGAAGGGAGATAGTTTAGGGGGTAGTGGGGCAGAAAGATTGAGAGAGAGAAATGGAGATGTCTCAAAGCTTGTTTGAGAAAACAGCCAAGGTCCAAGAAAATGAAGCATGAACACACCTCCTGACCCAGCAGTCCCACTCTGGGGAATTTATCCAAGTGCATGTACCTACAAAGGACTACTTCAGGAATGTTCAAAGCAGCCCTATTCATATTAGCTTGAACTTGGGAACAGTGCAAGTATCCATCAATAGAAGAATGGTTAACCAAATTGTGTATACACAATGAAAAGCAAGCAACGAAAAGAAGAATTACTCTCACAACAACATGGAGGCATCCCATGGATCTTATGTTGAGCAATAGGAGTTAGACACAGAAGAGCACATACTGTAAGATTGCACTCATATAAAGTTCAAGCACTGGGAAACACTAATCTATGGGTAAGAAAAAATTTAAAAGTAATTAATTTATGGTTAGGGTAGGTGTTATTTTGTGGAAAAAGTAGAATTCTTTATATCTTGATCCAGGTCATTGTTACATGGATATGGAGGTACACATACACACACACATATCTATATTTACACACACATATACACGTTTACATATATAACACATATATATGTGTATATGTAAAATGAGATCAGTCTGTACCTTTAAGATTTGTATATTTTATTGTTCATAAATTATAACAATAAAAAAAATTCAGTGGAGAAAAAGAACTAATGTTAAGAAAATAAAATTAACCACCTCCTGAAGGCTGCTAATCCAAGATGTCTGCCTCCCTTCCCCTAGCAGTGAAATCACTCCCTCAAGAGGAAGCCAGGGACATGTACATGCAGCAGGGCAACGAGCACTGAGAACCAGGATGAAAGTCATTTCTGAGAAGAAATTTGGGTCAAGCTCAAGTGTCAAGGTCTTCTCTATAGACCTGTATCATCCCATTGAATTGACAATGCAATAGTAAGCTTCCTTTCATAAATTATTCCTTCACTTTCTTGGAGACTTACCAATATAGCCTGGAATGGGCCACTGAGTGTCAACAATGGAAAAACAAACTCATTGCTTCTAGGCCTTTTGGCTAAGATGAAGTGTGGAAAAACAAACCCCCCACAGGAAGCTGAGATCACTGAAGCACTTACAAAGAGCTAGATTCCTCTGACCTTTCGAATAACTGAATTCAGATTTGTTGGTTGTATATGCTATGCTTCTTGCCTGCCTGTGTGCATAGCCCCTTCTAGAGATTCTGTTTTACTTGCAAGCCCTGAAAAGGTCCATCCTAAGTATCCTGGCCTATGGCAGATTGGCCTGCTGATAGACACTTAGCCCACTGGTCATTGGCTGACCAGTGACCAGACAGATTCTCATTTGAGAATTTCAACAAAGAGTCCCAGTTAGTGGAAGATATTAGTGGAAAGTGTAGGGCAGAGACAAGAGTGTTAGGTTTTGGCCACCTGAATGCTGAGTAAGTAGAGAGGCCGGTCTTTCCAGAGAAGCTATAAAATGGGAAGACCTGAGAAAGAGACAAGAGACCATGTGGCAACAGAGTGGTGATGAGCCTTGCTCCTTGACTTTGCAGACTTTGCAAGGCTGATTCTTCTGAAGCCTGGCTGTGATTAAGGTTCTTGGAGATATAGTATTCACTCCACTTCCAGCTCTACTCTTTTTTTTTTTTTAAGATTTTATTTATTTATTTGACAGAGAGAGCATGAGCACAAGTGGTGGAGCAGGAGAGGGAGAAGTGGGCTCCCCATTGAGCAGGCAGCCCAGTGCAGGAGGGCTTGATCCCCGGACCCTGGGATCATGACTTGAGCAGTCACTTAACTGACTGAGCCACCAGGCACCCCTACTCTACTCTTTTCTTAAGCTAGCTTGAGTGAGTGTCTGTTCCTTGAATGAAATACCGACTCTTTCTTTAATACCTACCCAGGCTACTGAGTATTGACATCCTATGATTAAAACTAGATTAAGATATTTCAAACCACAGAAGATGATTAAATCCCACATCACTCATTCTTTCCTCCTACACAGATCAGTTCTGAACCTTTGTAACATGAAAATTTTATGTAAGATGAGAATCCAGTCCCTAGTGGAGAAGCTAGCTTTATTCTTAAGCTCCATCTTGACTTTTTATCAGATCAGACTTAGCTAGGCCTGAGCTCTGCCACTCAATACTCTGTGTCCCAGCTGTGCTGAAACAAACCAACTAACTACTCCTTGTGCTCGTCTCACTTCTTAAACCTGAGGTTACTCACCAACTCCTCACACTGACTATGGCGTGTTAGAGCCTGCTAGGAAGCTTTTCCCTAATTCTGGGATGTCCAGCAGTATTCAGTACTCTCTTCTGGGAATTTCCAGGGTGTCCAGATCAAGATACAAGCTTGTTCCAGTAATCAACCCAAGAATGTGGGCAGAACCACATAAAACTACATTCTTTTTTTTTTTATTTTTTTTTAATTTTTATTTATTTATGAAGTCACAGAGAGAGAGAGAGAGGCAGAGACACAGGCAGAGGGAGAAGCAGGCTCCATGCACTGGGAGCCCGATGTGGGACTCGATCCCGGGTCTCCAGGATCGCGCCCTGGGCCAAAGGCAGGCGCCAAACCGCTGCGCCACCCAGGGATCCCTAAAACTACATTCTTTTGGTGAACTAGACACATGATGACTATTTCAGGTCACTGGTTGGTTAGCACAAGTGTTCTAAAATGTGGGAACCCTAGGGATTGAATTGGGAAACTATCACAGGGCAAGGCCACACACTTGAGTGAGGAGGTTAATGCCATTCATGGTCTCCAACTTTGGCTGAGTTGACACTGCTCATCCATTCTTTTGTTTCTCCTTGTTCTGCTCCATTCCCACTGTCTTCTAAACCTTTGACATTCTCCTCAAAGCCTCTTCAAAATTCTCATTCTTCTTCATTCATGTGAAGAATTCCCTTCAAAAGTCTATCTTTTTAAGTAGACTACTTAGCTTCGTATTTCAGAAAGAAAACTTCAGTAGTCTGTCATGAACTTCTTTGATTCCTATTCCTCTCACTTCAGAGAGAAGTCTACACAGTTCCAACTCAATGCTCATCCCTCCCTCCATATTTAGTCTGGAATCTGGTTGTGTTTTCTCTACTCCACAGGAACTATTTTGGCAAAAGTCATCAATGGGCCTGAGCTTTTAATAAGTTGGTTCCAGAGGCCTAAGCACCATTTCCTGTCCTCTCTACCTGGCTTACTCCTGCACAGATTTTGTGCCTCTTTTCCTCAAGGAGGCCTTTCCTACCCTGAAGCTGGCTTAAAGCCTTTGGCAGTATGCTTTCATACAAGCCTGGGAGTTCACTTTCAGAATACTCATCAGTCATGTGATTACTATTCAGTGGTTATATTCTTCCTCCACTGAAATATCCACATGACCATCCTGTAGACTGCTGTCTCCTCACCTCTAGTACAGTGCCTGCAGTGGGATTGGCTTGATTGAGAGAAACATGTTTCTGTAATTGCAAAAGTTACCATCTTGCTACCTCTCAGGGATAATGTGATCATTATAAATAAATTCTCCTCAATATGTAACACACTGACATGCCACCAAAGGCACTGAATGTCAAAGACGAGAGCCCTTCTGAGACCTTAAGCAGGCCAAAGTAGGTCAAATCTTTAAGTGCAGATTGAAAATTTTTTGAGAGGCAGAAGAGCATAGTTTTTAAAAGCACAGACTCTAGAACTAGGGTCCCTGAACTCTGCCATTTAATAACTGTGACCATTGACAGATTCCCTAGCTTTTCTGAGTCTCTTTTTCCTTATTTGTGAAATGGAGAAAATAATACTACTTGTCTCATTGACTTGTTGCATTGTCTGAAATTATATATGTAAAGTGCTAAGAATATGTCTGACACATGCACATTTAGTGCATATTTGCTACTGTTATTGTTCATCTTGAGTGTTATAGAAAGATTCTATCAACACAAGCCCCAGTTTCTTGGGCCCATCTGATTACACTTTATATATAAAATCTGTGTGCTACTGATAGAACTAAAGTATATAGTTGTTATTAGAACAGGACCTTCAGGGCAGCCCCTGTGGCCCAGCAGTTTAGCTCCGCCTTCAGCCCATGTTATGATCCTGGAGACCTGGGATCCAGTCCCACATCAGGCTCCCTGCACGGAGCCTGCTTCTTCCTCTGCCTGTCTCTCTCTCTCTCTCTGTCATGAATAGATAAATAAAATCTTAAAAAGAAAAAAGAACAGGACCTTCACGAAAGTAGGAATTGTTGATTCTGTTGGCCACGTCTCTGTCCCTAGCACCTACAGTTGTCTCTGGCTTAGAGTGGTGCCCAGTACATAGTCAAAATTTGAATGAATGGCTAAGCAGATGTTAAAGGTTCCTCTCTGTAGATTCTTGTGAAGCACAGTGAGTATTTAATTCCAGTCCCAGAAAACTTTCAATAACTTACATTTAAAATTATGGTATAAGAAATCAAGCCAAAATATTGCTTGAAGTTTGGATATCAATTTTAAGTGGGTTTATTATAGTCTAGACATGAAATTCATAGCATACCAACAACTAGTACTTTAAAAAAAAAAGTAAGGATGAGAGGTTCCCTTTCTTAAAAAAAAAAAACCCACACAATTACCTGTAGTCTGTGGTTATTTGGGCAGGCAATAGCTGGTTCGTAATGAATGGTCCTGATTTTTAAGAGAAGTAAGCTTTATATATAATGTTCGAGTATGTAGGTCTTCCTTTATATGGCACATGGAACCATATAAAAATTTTCATGTGTTTTCAGAGTTGAACCAGATAGGAATATAAGTCCTGTGATGAATTTACTCACAATTGCTGCAATGCAGTTCATTTTGTAGACTCACAGAACAACTGGCTATTTTGATCACATCTTTAATTCTACAGAGAATGAATTTGGAGCTCAGAAAGTGTCACAAAGGCCTATTTCAATTCCGTGCTATAAATCCAGTCATGTCACCAGTGTGCAGGCTACTGTGTTAGGTGCTTTGGCAAATGCAAAGATAGTAAAGACACAGGACCAGACCTCAAGAAGTGTTACAAAGACATGGATCTGTAATACAAAGCAGAGTGCAGTATGTGCCATGGATGATGTGCAAATTGCTCTAAGAATTAAGAGATGTCAGAGAGAAGGAGATTGCAATTTTTCATTTGTGTGTCTCACAAAGAAGAAAGCCTTTGTGAGGGCAATACTATAGTGACATTTAAGCATCATCACATAAAGTAGAAGTACAATGCACAGGTGCAGGCAGGTAGAGCAGCCACAGCTGCTGCCACAGAGGAGAGAGAGGACAGGGTGAATTTGGACATTCCCACACAGCCAGACAGGGCAGAGCCACAACATATGTAAGTGAGCTACTAACAGGAATCAGGGCTGCTTGGATAGAGCGAAGCTGCAGTTGAAGGACTTTGGAAGCATGGGCCAAATCCAGAATTGGTGCTTTTTAGATGTGAATAAACCTACAATTTCATTATATATAGCTTGTTCAGCTATATATTTATAAAGTTTCCTGAAGAGTGGTTCACTTTCTAGAAAGATGCCAGGTGGTTACTTCTATTTTACAATGCCTCTTTTAGATGTCACATTCAGCAGGTGGTGCTTGGGGTGTCTGATCTTGGGAGTGGGGTGATGTTATCTGTAACATCTCCTTGCCTTCTGATCACCAGAGTTTATACAGAGGTTGGGCCAGGTGATCTCTGGTGGTCTCACCTGCAGCTCTGGTGTCTCTTCCCCTGTCTGGTCTATGTGAGCCGTAGGGAGAAGGGAACAAACATAGTGTTGGGGGATGATTAGGGTCTGACTGAGCCCTGCAGAGCCCCCGGCGGGCCCAGTCTGATCCCGGGTTTTGCTTCCCTGAGCAGGAGCTAGTTCTGGAACTAAGGTGAACTGTGAAACATTAGACCCAAGTCCTGTAGCATCTTTTTCCCTCATTCCTCATCCTCCCATCTTCCCCGGGGATTTGCAAGCCAATTTTAAAGCTCAGGCCACCTGGGAAATTTTGTAATGGGGGAAAGGAAAGAGAATAGGAGCAGTGAAGAAATATAATCTTAGAGAAAGAAATCTATGCTCACTTTGGTAGTACCAATATGCAGCTGTCCAGTTGTGAATTAAAGCAGTTAACAGAGACTACACATCTACTACATACAAATCCCTGTGCTGCTGGGGATAACAAGAGCTGGACGTTGCTGTAAGTCAGGGTGGAAATTGTTAGCTTTACAACAATAGTAACTAGTATAGTGTTTTAAGCTTGAGGAGCTTTTCTTGCATGATAGCTCGTTTGGTCCTCATAACCCCCACAATAATAATTACTATCTGTTACTTCCCATACAAGTGGACTGATGTCAGAGAGGTTAGGTATGTCTAACATCACATAGGTAGGGCTGAGACTAGAACCAGTATCTTCAGATGATAAATTTTAGCTTCTTTCTCTTTTAACCACACATGCTGATGACAGCTGACAAAATTTTTTCCAGTTCATGGCTATGTATAGTTATGGTGCCAAATCTTGTCTTTCTATACAACTTATTATTTAGGGACCCACAGTCAAATAAAAACAAAACCCTTACCTTCTGCCACAGTTACCAGCACCCAGCAGACCAATAGCCAGTAGGAGAAGCACAGTCTGTAAGTCATGGCTTCTACCCTGAGCAGTCACTGCTTGGAACCCAAGAATTCAACGTTGCTTTAAAGGGGAGTTGGTGAGTCACCTGCAGCCTGATTCAGGTAATTTACATTTGCACTGTGGACCACAGGGATCAGGGTTTGCGGTGTGAGGGTAAGAAATAAGCAAGGAAATACCAGACAGTATTTATCAGCTAGAAGCTTCCTGTAATGCCAGCCAAACATCATTCATCTGCCCCTGGAGTCAGATTGTGGGCAACCACACCCTCACTATCCTTTTAATCCCCTCAAAACTTCTCTCTCATTAGTGCCTTCTCTTGACTTGCTCTGTGGATCTCCCTTTGCAAGAGGAAGAATCTGTCTAGGAAATACTCAACAGTGCTTCCCTCTGTGTAGTTTACTTTCTTAAAAAAAAAAAAAAGCCAAACAGGATCGGGAGGGCATTAGCCAAAGGCTTCCTGACCCAGGTGTTTTGAAGACGCTATTCGCAGGCCTGGGATCAGAGATTATGGTTTTGTCTTCTCTTTGCTTTTGTCAAGGTACCGAGGGTAGCCATGTCAGAAAGCTAGGTTATCTGGTAGACGCCATGGTCACTGTCCCCACAAACATGAATAAGTTGGGAGATTAACTTGCTGAGTTGTCCTTCCACGGCCCCTTCCTGATTCATCACAATTGCCCATTTGATGGACATGATACATCTGAGCCTGGTCTCTTTCCTGAGAGAAGAACACTGTCTATCTAGGGGGGGATGGAAGGGAATGGCTGCAGGTGAGGAAAGACTGGCATTGGAAAGACTGGCTCCAATCTTGGTGCCTTTTCTTCCTATGTGGGTGACTAGGAGTGTGATGTGAAGCCACAGGCGCCTCATCTGTTAAATGGGTATTTCCCTCAGAAGATTTGTTGTGCTGAACAAAAGAGGCGGTTGACCTACAGCTCCAACCACAGTGCCTGGCCTATTAAAGACAGTGGTTATAGTTATTATTAAATTATAATGACTCCAATTCTTATTTCTTTATTCATGAGAGACACACAGAGAGAGGCAGAGACACAGGCAGAGGGAGAAGCAGGCTTCCTGTGGGGAGCCTGATGTGGGACTTGATCACGCCCTGAGTCGAAAGCAGATGCCCAACCACCGAGCCACCCAGGTGCCCCAGTGATTCCAATTCTTATTTTGTTCCCTCAGGAGGTTATACTTGTCCAAGCATTCAGTCACCCAAAGGTCTCTGCTTTGAGCAGAATGTTTCCCTGGGCATTGCAGAAAGAACACAACAGAGCACTGTCCCTGGCTTCAAAGGACTAACCATCTATGGGGGAGATTGTGCAAATTGAGGACCAACGTGAGTAAGAATGCAAAGAGTCACAAAGTAGGAAGTGGCAAATTCCACAGGCCTAATGGTGATCCTAGGCAAAATTCTGGGACAGATGACTAGCAGGTGATTCATCAGCAGTTTGGAGAGGAAGCAGGGATCATGGAGAACAAGCTCAGTCCCTTAGATCAAGACATTCATGACTCTCTCTTGACCCCGTGTCATGTGCCAGATCATGTGGTCTCCATGCTGGGGCTAACAGATGGGGTCCTGCTCTCACAGAACTTATGGCCTGGCAGCAACATAAAATATTAAGGAGTAACAATACAGAGTTTTGAGTGTTAAGGGAGAGGAAGTACTGGAAGCTATGAAACAGAGCAACATCCATAATTTGACATCAGTGAGTGAGTATTATATATGCTGATCAGGCACAGAAACAGAAAAATGTTCAATTTTAGCCCAGAGGCTGACCTAGTACCTTCATAATTCTGATAAGGATTAAATTCGTGGGAGGAGGGGCAAGATTGCGGAAGAGCAGGGTCCCCGTCCCCAATCACCTGTCCCCACCAAATTACCTAGATAACCTTCAAACCATCCTGAAAATCTACGAATTCGGCCTGAGATTTAAAGATAGACCAGCTGGAATGCTACAGTGAGGAGAGTTCGCCCTTCTATCAAGGTAGGAAGACGGGGAAAAAGAAATAAAGAAATAAAGGGCCTCCGAGGGGGAGGGGCCCCGCGAGGAGCCGGGCTGAGGCCGGGACGAGTGTCCCCAGGACAGGAGAGCCCCGTCCCGGAGGAGCAGGAGCTGCACCAACCTTCCCGGGCGGAAAGGGGCTCGCAGGGAGTTAGAGCAGGACCCAGGAGGGCGGGGATGCCCTCGAGCTCCCTGGGACACTAACAGACACCTGCGCCCCGGGAGAGTGCGCGGAGCTCCCTAAGGGCTGCAGCGCGCACGGCGGGATCTGGAGCAGCTCGGAGGGGCTCAGGCGGCGGCTCCGCGGAGGGGGCTGCGGGGCGGGAGCGCGAATCCAACAGCGCAGGCCCCGGAGCACAGGGCGCCGGGACACAGCCCAGGATCCGGCCTCCCCCGGGACAGGGAGAGGCCGGGAGGGCCCAGGACAGCAAGGACGTTCCTGCCCCGAGCTGAGCAGATCAGCGGCCCCGCCCTGGAGCCTCCAGGCCCTGCAGACGGAGATCTCTGTGGTTACTGCGGGAGCTGACTCCAGGGCTGCAGAGCTGGCCCCGCCACTGCGGCTGTTCCTCCTGGGGCCTCACGGGGTAATCAACCCCCACTGAGCCCTGCACCAGGCAGGGGCAGAGCAGCTCCCCCAAGTGCTAACACCTGAAAATCAGCACAACAGGCCCCTCCCCCAGAAGACCAGATGGACGGACCAGTTCCAGGGAAGTCAAGGGACTTAAAGTATACAGAATCAGAAGATACTCCCCCGTGCTTTTTTTTCTTATTTTTCTTTTTGATTTCTGATTGCTTCCCCCCCCCTTTTTTCACCTTTCTTTTTCTTTCTCTTTTTCTTCTTTTTTCCCTTTTTTTTCTTCTTTTTCTTTTTTCTTTTTCTCTTTTCTTTCCTTCTCTCTCTTTTTCTCCTTTTCCCAATACAACTTGTTTTTGGCCGCTCTGCACTGAGCAAAATGACTAGAAGGAAAACCTCACCTCAAAAGAAATAATCAGGAACAGTCCTCTCTCCCACAGAGTTACAAAATCTGGATTACAATTCAGTGTCAGAAAGCCAATTCAGAAGCACTATTATACAGCTACTGGTGGCTCTAAGAAAAAAGCACAAAGGACTAAAGAGACTTCATGACTGCAGAATTTAGATCCAATCAGGCAGGAATTAAAAATCAATTGAATGAGATGCAACCCAAACTAGAAGTCCTAATGACGAGAGTTAACGAGGTGGAAGAACGAGTGAGTGACATAGAAGACAAGTTAATGGCAAAGAGGGAAACTGAGGAAAAAAGAGACAGACAAAAGACCATGAAGACAGATTAAGGTAAATAAACGACAGCCTGAGGAAGAAAAATCTACGTTTAATTGGGGTTCCCGAGGGCGCCGAAAGGGAGGGAGGGCCAGAATATGTATTTGAACAAATCCTAGCTGAAAACTTTCCCAATCTGGGAAGGGAAACAGGCATTCAGATCCAGGAAATAGAGAGATCCCCTCCGAAAATCAATAAAAACCGTTCAACACCTAGACATTTAATAGTGAAGCTTGCAAATTCCAAAGATAAAGAGAAGATCCTTAAAGCAGCAAGAGACAAGAAGTCCCTGACTTTTATGGGGAGGAGTACTAGGGTAACAGCAGACCTCTCCACAGAGACGTGGCAGGCCAGAAAGGGCTGGCAGGATATATTCAGGGTCCTAAATGAGAAGAACATGCAACCAAGAATACTTTATCCAGCAAGGCTCTCATTCAAAATGGAAGGAGAGATAAAGAGCTTCCAAGACAGTCAGGAACTGAAAGAATATGTGACCTCCAAACCAGCTCTGCAAGAAATTTTAAGGGGGACTCTTAAAATTCCCCTTTAAGAAGAAGTTCAGTGGAACAATCCACAAAACAAGGACTGAATAGATATCATGATGACCCTAAACTCATATCTTTCGATAGTAACTCTGAACGTGAACGGGCTTAATGACCCCATCAAAAGGCGCAGGGTTTCAGACTGGATAAAAAAGCAGGACCCATCTATTTGCTGTCTACAAGAGACTCATTTTAGACAGAAGGACACCTACAACCTGAAAATAAAAGGTTGGAGAACCATTTGCCATTCAAATGGTCCTCAAAAGAAAGCAGGGGTAGTCATCCTTATATCAGATAAACTAAAATTTACCCCGAAGACTATAGTGAGAGATGAAGAGGGACACTATCTCATACTTAAAAGATCTATCCAACAAGAGGACTTAACGATCCTCAATATATATGCCCCGAATGTGGGAGCTGCCAAATACTTAAACGAATTATTAACCAAAGTGAAGAAATACTTACATAATAATACACTTATACTTGGTGACTTCAATCTAGCTCTTTCTACCCTTGATAGGTCTTCTAAGCACAACATCTCCAAAGAAACGAGAGCTTTAAATGATACACTGGACCAGATGGATTTCACAGATATCTACAGAACTTTACATCCAAACTCAACTGAATACACATTCTTCTCAAGTGCACATGGAACTTTCTCCAGAATAGACCACATACTGGGTCACAAATCGGGTCTGAACTGATACCAAAAGATTGGGATCGTCCCCTGCATATTCTCAGACCATAACGCCTTGAAATTAGAACTCAATCACAAGAAGAAGTTTGGAAGGACCTCAAACACGTGGAGGTTAAGGACCATCCTGCTAAAAGATGAAAGGGTCAACCAGGAAATTAAGGAAGAATTAAAAAGATTCATGGAAATTAATGAGAATGAAGATACAACCGTTCAAAATCTTTGGGATGCAGCAAAAGCAGTCCTGAGGGGGAAATACATCGCAATACAAGCATCCATTCAAAAACTGGAAAGAACTCAAATACAAAAGCTAACCTTACACCCGAAGGAGCTAGAGAAAAAACGGCTAATGGACCCTACGCACAGCAGAAGAAGAGAGTTAATTAAAATTCGAGCAGAACTCAACGAAATTGAGACCAGAAGAACTGTGGAACAGATCAACAGAACCAGGAGTTGGTTCTTTGAAAGAATTAATAAGATA